AATGTATAGAAAAATTAAACTTTTCTAATAATGGGAATTCGGTGAGATCCACTTTAGTACAGAGGTTAGTTTAGTTGACAATACCCTCTTGTATCGAATGGAGTCTAGTTTATCACCAGCTCATATCTGATCCTCCCCGTCTGCTTTAAGCCCCTGGCTGTCCTGATCCTTGCTATAGACTAAGCCGAGCCACCGGGCCAACCGGTGACTGTCGGGCACAGGTACCAATTCAGGCAGATGCACACAAACACCAACGTACAGAACTGTGCGTCATATTCTATCCTCCCGGATAATTAGACAGTTTAAGCGATTAGCCCCAAAAAGGTGACAATCAGTCGAGCTCCATACCTCGCGCCCATCGGGAGTGGAAGAAGTGGGAAATGAGGGACAGGGAGGGGACAGGAACTGCGGGAGCCTGGGGTCCTCTCTGATCCACTCGGGGCTCGGTCTTTGGGCCCCAGACCGGCCGGATAGTCGCCCCACACCTCACCCTCAGGCCCCGAGATGGGCGTGGCCAACCCCCCGAAAGAGATCCACAAGGCCTAAAAGGGTCTTTCTCGAGCCCCTGATCTGCGTGGTTGTGGATGAAGTGTAGATAATCCACCCATTATGGTACAACCGGCGGTTTGTCAGGACTGTATGGCCAAATCAACCAGCAGGTTGATGGGCCAGAAAGGGGGGCCCTCATCTCATGACTTGAATGAGGCCAAGCCAAATGGCTGCAAGCGCCTTAGGCGAACCCAAGAAGTGGCGTTGCAGCAAATCACTGCTGGGGGTCGGAACACGAGAGTGGACGAAAGCAGATCTGCTGTGCATTGTGAGCGATGAAGGCACGATTTGTGGTGCAGGACAAGTATCGCTTTTCGCTCCAGCCAAAACGGCAGAAGAACGGACGAATGACGAGCTTATGTCGGACCAGATTTTGACAACCCGTCCTCTGACACAATTCTACGAAACCCAGATTGACGTGACTACTCGCGGGCCACAGTTATCCTATGACTTTACTTTAGGCCAGCTGCTTCAACTCCTGCAGAGCCGAATTATCCAGAGTCAGGGCCGAACTCTTGAGCTTGGCATGCACAACACGATCATGTATAGTGGTTGTTTGACCTTGTTTTCGCAACATGGTCATATTGGTAGGAAGACTTATTGGAACGCACCTCGTCGAGGGTCCATTGTCTGCGTGATCATTTCCAAAGTTGAACCGTGGACGTGCTACATTCCCAAACATTTCGCTGGCATCGTAGTCGGCATCGTCAGTGAGTATCGCCATCCTAAGCACCATACAGCAACTCGTCAA